ATACAAAGTCTAGTTAAAATAAGAAAGTGGTAGCAAATATATGACTAAAAATTTTTTTTATTTATGAATATTATTGGTTTGTCTTATTCACTTGTCAACCACTACAGATTCAATTCTCAAATGTATATGATAAATTTCTCTCAAATTCTATTATAAAAGGCTTTGGGTTCATGCGCACAACTGGTTCACTTTTTAAATAGTCTGCGCGGACAACTTATAAAAGACTGTGTGGAGGCTTTTTGATGTAGGAGGTGATGCATCAGCATAACGGAAAAATATCAAAGCAAGTAAGTAGATTAAAATGAATTCAAAATATTTTGTGAGGCTCATATTTAGAGAGCTCTTTTTGATGATGCTACCTCATGTTGCATTCAAAGTGCACTAAAGGCGATTTATGATTTACTTTTAGAGTTGAGAGTAAAATTAGAAAATAAAAGTTATTTTAGAGAAACAAACATCTCAAATAAAAAAAACCATCTTCTCATCTTTCAAAGCTAACTAACTTTTATGATATAAAATTAAAAGCATAAACAAAAATACATAATTGCTTATTTATTTAAAATAGCCTTATCATTTATAATTGGTAAATTTGTTTTTGTGCATAATTATATCTGTTGGGATAATTTTTATGGATTTTAAATTTTATTCATGGAACCGTCTTTTCATGACGCCAACAAAAGTGGTATTTTCGCCCAAAGAAAATGATACTGATTGAAATTAAAATCGTTTGCGAAAAATCACGTGCCTTCGATAAAAATATTGAAGTCAATGGAGGTAATTTCTAAGAACCACCAACCTCTATCAACGGCCATTTTACTGTGGAACGAAGTGGTCGCTCCCGCGAGGTTTCACTGTACCTTGATTTTTATAAACATAAATCATCACATTACTTTCAAAAATAAAATAAACATACTTACCCTTCTGTGAATTGTCATCATCAGCTTTTAAAACAAAGAAAAATATTGTGATGAAGCAAATAAAACTAAATTCTTTACACAGAGATAAATATTAGAATCAGAATTCTTTTCCTAGATTTGAAATTGAGTAGAAATTTGAAAATTCAAGATTCGTATGGTTCTTAAATTTTTAAAATGTTCTTGCACAACTAAGTAAATAAGGTGTATTTTAACAATTTTAGTTCATTCTCTCAATATTTCCAAATTATCTAACAGCGAAATCTAATGTTTCTGTTGCTTCATTTTAACACTTTGCACTCCAATGTCGTCTCAGAGTCGCCTTTGTCAGTCACCACTCTTAAATTAAAATTTTTTATTTCTTATAATTAGCAACCACACATTAGAATTATTACATACTGTAATATATTAACAAAATGATATATATATTTGCCTTTCCATACCTGCCAACATTTAATACTTTCGAGGATGATTTTCCCCAGTGGTAGTAAAATGAATTTCTAATTACTATTTTAGGCTGAAAAACACGGTGTATTTCGAAGAACCTTATGCAGACTCCNACAACTAAGTAAATAAGGTGTATTTTAACAATTTTAGTTCATTCTCTCAATATTTCCAAATTATCTAACAGCGAAATCTAATGTTTCTGTTGCTTCATTTTAACACTTTGCACTCCAATGTCGTCTCAGAGTCGCCTTTGTCAGTCACCACTCTTAAATTAAAATTTTTTATTTCTTATAATTAGCAACCACACTTTAGAATTATTACATACTGTAATATATTAACAAAATGATATATATATTTACCTTTCCATACCTGCCAACTTTTAATACTTTCGAGGATAATTTTCCCCAGTGGTAGTAAAATGGAATTCTAATTGATTATAATTAAGTTTATAAATGCAATGAATATATAGAAAGCATACATTCACACTCTAAATATAGAAATAAAATTTTACTCCAAATATGTAAACGTTGGCAGGTATGCATACCTGCCAACTTTTAATCCCTTCAAGGATGATTTCTCCCCGTATTAGTAAACTGGAAATTGAATTTCAATTTTAGTCAGAAGCATATGTAGCATTTTGAGCAAGCTTAAACGGAAAACAGTAACATCATCATTATCGAATATATCTGGGCGCCTGGGGCCGTTAGTGGTCTTTAAGGTGGCACTTTCTGGTAATTGGAATGCAATTGGAAGAAACACAGTAAGAGCATCGCATATTAATTTATATGCTTATTTTTTAAAAAAAATAGTGGTGGTTAAAATCATTATAAATGAAGTTTATAAATGCTAGGAATATATAGAAAGCATACATTTTACTACCACTTTAAATATAAAAATAAAATTGTTCGCCAAATGAGTAAAAGTAGCTGGTATGCATTTCGAGTCAATGCATCAATGCACAGTTTATAATTATCTCTTTAGATTTCATTATTTAAATATTTAAGAGAATTTAATATAGTACTTACCGCACAAGACGGCGCCAACTGAAATAAAATTTGACATATAATATTATTAAGGCGTAGCTCAATATTTTTACTGATACATGAAGACTATAGATCAGCAGTTCCATAATAGTGTTTCGTGGAAATCTTGAGTTCTGATAAAGAGTTCCGAGAGTTAGATCTTTTTTAAACATTTGTAAAACCTGTAATTATATTTGAACCGAATTATGGTTTACTTCAAATTGGAAACCTAAACGGTATGTTTCTTTATCAATAATAAAAGGAGAAATCCAAAATTACGTATAAACCAGTTAAAGGCTACAATTACAAAGAAAAGTTGCACAATGCAGTAGAAATTCCATAAGAAATTTGAAGCCAATGGAAGATTTTAAGGAGGAAAACAATGAAAAATATAATAATAACAACCAAACTGACGTCGTTAGGGAACTAGCCCATCACCTCCTACATCAAAAAGCCTCCTCACAGTTAAAAGTAGTCCGCGCAGACTATTTAAAAAGCGAACCAGTTGTGCGCATGAACCCAAAACCTTTTATAAAAGTAATTGAGAGAAATTTATCATATATATTTGAGAATTGAATCTGTAGTGGTTGACAAGTGAATAAGGCAAACCAATAATATTCATAAATAAAACAAATATTCAGTCATATATTTGCTACCACTTTCTTATTTTAACTTGATTTGGTATTAAATTACTCTTTCGGAAAGTGGATAACCTTCATGATGGTCTGATCGGACTACTCATAAAAACCGTGTGGCGGCTTTCAGTTATAGGAGACGTTGACTATCCCCGGAAGATATAAGAACACAAAACCTTTTCTATCGAGAAAGTACGGCAAATGTTGGAATTTGTTCTCTCTGTACCGAAAGGTTTTGTAAAGAGTCCAGGAATAGAGAAAAAGAGATTACAAAAGGAAAACAATATTCAAAGAACCTACTTAAAATATACTTATGTTAAGCCCAAGCACGTAACTTTCTGAAAATCCTTAACCAAACTGAAATTCACAAACAAACTATGCCCCCATTTTATGCGCAAAAAGAATTTAAAAAAAAACAGACAAAAAAGTTGTCATCTGTTAGAAGAAAATCTTAACTAGGGCAACTCAGTTAAGTCTCGATCTAGCCCTATTAAAAGAAAGTAATAACTAATAATTTTAAGCCTTTCTTTAATTTTTCCTTCAATATTGTAAAAACTAAACGGAAAACCATTACTCTCTAGATAACTTAAAAAATTACTAGTAGCCTCTAGAAAGTATTCGACATTATTACAAATTTTATTAATTTTACAGAGTTGAAAAAAAAACTAAATTTTTGAATATATTACTACACAAATTCGTATCACAAATACAAAAGAAAATAACCCTAAAATTAAAAGCCTCCCTTTTATCTTAAACTCCAATTTTAATTTGATCATTAGCAATATTAATTTTAAAATCAAAATATTCAACATTTAAGCAATTATCATTAGTCCTCTTCAAAACAAAATCTTCTGGATTAATTTTAAAAATTAAATCATAATTTGCACAATTAAATGAAATTAAATCATCAATATATCTAAAAGCTTTAAAATCATTAAACTCAAGATACTTTGCTCTAAAAATAATGTATACAAAAATCAGCAAAAGTTCCAGAAAAAGAATTACCTAGTGGTATTCCTATCTTTTGTTTATAAAAATCAATGCCATTAAAAAGAAATTTTTCAAAACAATTAAATTTACAAACATCAATCCAATAATTTTTATTAATATTTTCATTATTTAAATATTTATCATTAATGCAACTGCAAATATCAAGTATTTTAGCATGAGTTATACTGGTCTAAAGATTTTCAAAGTCGAATGAATTAAGATTAAAATCACATTTTTTTCAATTAAGTTCAAAACATCAATATTATTTAATAATAACAATATTTTTCTCACTTTTAACTTTAATCAAAATAATTTTAAGAATATTAAAGAATTTTTTACTAACGTTAGAATTATAACTATTAGTAACACAAGCTGTAAACCTGAAATTAACTGGATTTTTTTGAAAAAAATTTAACAATAGGAAATAAATAAGGATAGGTTCACGGTAAGGTAAGGATCTATATAATTTAAATTTTAATTTTTTACTAGAAGTAATAATACCTTTTGTCAAAAACTTTTTTCTCATATTTTAACTTAATATAAGTATTATTAGTAATATATTACTTAATAATCAATTTTTAAAGAAAATATTAACTCATAATGCAAAAGTTGTGATAAGCTTTATCATCAACAGTAATAATTAACTTATTTGTAAGTTTTTTTTTAAATTTTCTCAAACATATCATAATCAGTAGCGATAGCACTAGGATAAAAACAAAATTTAGATTTGTTGAATTTATTTTTTAAACTTTCCAGAATCCCTGTTTTCCATTTTAAAAAAATACAATTAAGGTCTCTTTCAACCAATAAAATAAAATCATCATTTTTCATTTTTAACCTTTTTTTAAATTTAGATCCTCTACTCAAGATTTTAATCAAATCTTGATCTCGAACAATATTTAAATTCCAGGTAATAACATGACCATAATCTATATCAATAAACTGAGAAAATTATGATAAAATTCATGAATTATGATAAAAGAAAGGCTTTTAATTTTAGGGTTATTTTTTCTGTAATTTTGATACGAATTTGTGTAGTAATATATTCAAAAATTTAGTTTTTTCTCAATTGTCTAGAATTAACAAAATTTGAAATAATGTTGAATACTTTCAAGAGGCTACTAATAATTTTTTTTAAAAATAATCTAGACAGTAATGGTTTTCTTTTTGATTTTTACAATATTGCAGGTAAAATTAAGGAAATTATTAAAAATTATTAGGTTTTATTTTCTTTTAATAAGGCTTTTCTACAAACAGATGGCAACAACTTTCTAGTTTTACTTTTTTTCTTCCTTTTGCGCATTAAATTAAAGGGCTAGTTTTTTTTGTGAATTTCAGTTTGGTTAAGGATTTTCAGAATGTTGTGTGCATTAGTTTTTATAAAAGAATATTTTGAACCCTTTCGAGCCGACTGTCACAAATACGTGTCAGCATAAATCCGTATCAACCAGGGTAAAAAGATAAAACTGGTAATCAAATTAATTCTTTAGCAGTTTATTTGTGGGCGGAGTTATACTTGTTTGATTTATTTTATTCACCATTTCTTTGTTCAAAATAAAACTATTTAGCTATATTTTGAATTAACATTGATTAGATATATGATTAAACTAACAATAATTAAAGTAAAAGCAAAGTAAGTCCTTCAAATTAGAAACGACTACATTTAAGTTACCGTTTTTTATTTAATTGCATCCTGATTCTGATTTTGTACGAATGCACTTCTGAATCACCCGTCCCCAAAGGGTTAGCCCTTTCTCTCCGACTGTCGCAAATACGTGCAGCGTAAAACCGTATCAACCAGGGTAAAAAGATAAAACTGGTAATCAAATTAATTCTTTAGCAATTTATTTGTGGGCGGTGTTATAATTGTTTGATTTATTTAATTCACCACTACTTATTTCGAATTAAAAATTGTATAGTTACACTTTTAACACAAATGGTTTGGATGTGTTAGATTTAAAGAGAAGAAAAAATCCGTCAAATTAGCTATGCCCAAACTTAAGCTACCGCTTTTTATTTTTTACCATCCTGGTACTGATTCCTTAGGAATAAATTCATGACTCGCCCGTCCTGAAAGGGTTAAGTAGGTATCTAGAAATTTGTTTTCCTTTCGCAATTATTTTATGGGTTTTGCATTTTACTGATGTATTTTGTAATCTCTTTTTCTCTTTTCTTGAACTTTTTGAAAAACCTTTGGGGTACATAGAGAGCAAATTTTAGACATTCGGATTTCTGACTTCTTATGTATAGAAGGTAGCCGCAATCTGGGGAATATAATCCCCATAGTTTCGTCCAAAAATTTGATTAATTTAATTTTACTTTTTGCGTATTTTGTCACATCTCGAGAAATTTTAAAGTGAACTGAAAAAAATTTGCACACAATGATAAAATTCATTTATTCGAAGATAATTCCACGTAAAAAAAATCTTGCAAATATTTATTATTTTTTAATATTTTACAAGATAATAGTCTAAAAAATTTTGAATTGTAAGGTATACAAGGTAAGGTATTCGTGATTACATATAGTTTCGTTTATTTTGTTATTAAATTATGCAAATATGCTTTCAAAATAATATAAAAGCTTTTAAAAGTTACACAAGTCAGACAGAAATTTAATTCTTGCAATCTTCTACCTATATATTATAGAATTATTTTTTTTAAAAAAGGTAAGAGTTTCGTAGCATTACTGGAATCCTAGACTTCCCTATATATTTGGATAAATAAGATGAACATCCATTGTTCCATCCTTCTATAAGCATTATTTGATATTCTTTCATCAGTTTCTTTAAATGCGAACAGAATGATGTATATTTGGTAAGATTTTGGGATATCATTTTATTAATTCTTATTAATTGTTAATCGAGTACTATCGTTAATAATTGTTATTTTTATTGATAAGAAAGCAAGAATAAGGAGGCTGAGCAACGTCGTTTCAAGAGCTGAAAATATTGATATATGTTCGCGCTGGGAGTTTGGCATCCATTTGGCGTGCACTCATATGCAAAGGGATAATCGTTTTTTCTTAATTTATAACAGAGTGTAATTACATTATGAAAGCCCTTATTTTTTTATTCCCCTTATTTTCATATTCCCTTATTTTTATTCCTTTATTATATTCCCTAATTTTTATTTTTTAATTTATAGCATTATGAAAACAAATATTTTGAATTGCATGAAAGGAAAATAAATTCTTGTTACAGAGGTGCCACGGGCGACTAAAACTGCAAGAAGTGAAGATACAAAATTTATTTTTATCTATTTAATTTATTTAATCATTCAATCATATTACCATCATGACTTACATTGAAAATTAGTCATATTTCAGCCGAAAATAATCTTTGCATAGCAAACTGAAATAAATATGTAAGAAAATTTTGCGAAATTTAATCTCCATTGTTTTTTATTTGTCATCTCTTATTTACAGTTTTAGTCACGCGTTGTTTTAAAATATCATTGTAAAACAACATTAAAATATAAAATCCTAACAATGAAAACAATAATTGAGTGCTAATATTTGGAAAAAAAGTCAAATGTTAGCATAACAAAAATATAATTAAATGTTTGTATTGTAAAAAAATATTTTAAACTGTGTAAAATAAAAATAAATTCTTACTCTGAGATATCATTGTTAAAATAACATTGTAAGATTAAATCTTAGCATTAAGAAAAATAATTGAGTGTTAATATTTGGAAAAAAATAATTAAATGGTTGTATAATAAAAAATAATTAAATGTTTACTATATAAAAAATATTACAAACTGTGTGAAAGAAAAATAAATTCTTGTTCATTGTAAAATAACACTAACATATTAAATCTTAGCCTTAGGCAAAACAATTCAATTTCAGCAATATGAAAAATAATTAAATATTAATGCAATAAAAAATAAATAAATGTTAGCATTATGAAACATAAATTTTAACTGTATGAAACGGAAATAAATCCTTGTTATGAAACATCATTGCGAAACAACCCTAAAATTTTAAATCTTAGCATTATGAAAAATAATCAAATGTTAAACGTAATAAAAAATAGTTGAATGTTAGAGTTACGAAAAATGTTTTTTAACTCTGTAAAGAGAAATAATTTCTTGCTCTTAACTCTCTTTGTTTAACATCATTAAAATAACAAATAATAAACAGAAATTTGGTACACTTTTAAACATTTTGGATCCTATATAACTATAATATCGTTTAAACTTGCTACAACCTTAAAATATTTAATTTGGATTCTTGGTAAAATGTTTAGATTCATCTTCTTGATTTGTTTTCCTTTTACAAATTTTTGATGATAGAATGTCATTAAAACAATAAAGAACTTAAACCATCGTGATCCGCTTTTAGTTACAATCGAAAAATGTCAGTCCTTGGAAGTAATATTAAAAAATATTCCTAGGAAGAAATATTCGAAAAATTTAAATCTCTGTTGTCCGTTCTAGGAAGTTTTAGATGAAAAATGTAAATCTATGTTGCCCTTCCTAGGATATGATAATAGAAAATCGCAAATCTACGTGACCTGTCCTTGGTTATAATTGTTAAATCGGGATCAATTTTTCTGAGAATGTAAAGATTGAATTTTAAAGGACAAATTAATATGTTAAGTTTGCAGCAAATTTTCTGGCCGAAATTATAGTTTAAAGTACAGTTATAATGGTTAACCATTGAACAGATGTTTCTGAGAATGTAGGGAAGTTTTGACTTGAAAGCACAAATTAATATGTTAAGTTTGCAGCAATTTTTCTGGCTGAAACTATAGTTCAAAATACTGTTAAAATAGTCAAACGTTGAAAAGATTTTCCTGAGGATGTAGGAAAGTTTTGATCTAAAAAAATTAAGTAATATTTTTTTTTCAATTCCTACTATTAGTTCACACTCTCCCTATATCTTATTCAAATTTCCAATCATTAATAAAATACTTTCAATTTTTTCAATTCCTACTATTAGTTCTCACTCTCCCTACATCTTGTTCAAATTTCCAATCACTAATAAAATACTTTTTATTCTTCCACTTAAGTTCAAATACGTTTTTTTAACTTGTAGTGAGTGACACTTGATGTTAATACAGTTTTTTCAAATATCAATCCATTCCTTAAATAGGAAGGAGCGAAAAACGAAATGGTTGCTTTAAATTTTACCACGGCAATTCAGTTTTTCACATATTTTAAAAATAACATAACATCACTGATGATTTCTAACTTATTTGAAAGAATTTTATAAAAATAACGAACGTTATACTCTATTTAAACAAAAAAATAGAGACACAAATATACAGACTTACTTAAAAAGTAACAACAAATAAAGATCAGAATCAAACGGTTGTTCATTGTCAGGCTTGAGTGTATTCTTTGAGAAAATCAGGAAGACAACTTCTTTTTAACAAGGAAAAGTTTTCAAATTCCTTATCATTCAATGCGTGATTTGCACTTAGAGTGTTAAAACTGTAAGTCGCAAATCTTGAGACAAAAACATTGGATATCTTTTCATCAGTATTTTTTCAATATTCGATAGTCTCAATAAGAAGATTAAGCGTGATTACAAAATGTATCAATGATTCTCTTAGATTGTGTGATTTGTATGAACAAGTTACGTAAAATTTGAAAATCGTGATTCTCGGAATTCGTTAGGCGAGAGATAACCTCCGAAGGTGCGTAGTAAAATACATGTATTTGAACTACCAGCTGTAATATATACTTAGCTGACAAAGCTTTAGATTTTCCGGGAGGATTTATTTTTATCTTTAATAGTGCAGTGTAAAAGTTTCATTATTAATTTAATAAATGTGATTTAATATTTTTTTCACACCATTATATGCATATATTTAATACGCACTCAGTAAAGACTGTTATGATAAGCAAAGCTGAAAGCTTGCAGAGGTACTAGAAGGAAAATACTAAGTTGTAGTTTTGTTGTAATAATTTATTAAGTAAAAGTCGCTTTTTATATTTAAAAGAGTAGCAAAATAGTTTCATTCATAATTTAATAAATTTTATCCAATGTAATTTTTCACACCATTATATGCAAATATTTAAAACGTATACAGTAAAGACTTTGTCATCATTAACATTGCTGCCAACTTGCAAGGTCATGGAAGAGAAAATAGTTGTAATGTAGTAATAATTTATTAAGTGAAAGTAGCTTTTTATTTTATTTAAAAGGGTAGAAATATAGTTTTATTCTTAAGTTAATAAATGTGATTCAATATTTTCTCACACCATTGCATGTAAACATTTAAAACATATACAGTAAAGAATGTTATCATTAACAAAGGTGAAAACATACAGTGTCGTTAAATTAAAATACAAAGTCGTTCTGATGTAATAATAATTCAATAAGTAAAAGTAACTGTGATGATACTATCACAATACACCTAAATTTTAACAGTTTAGCTCTTGTCTAAATTTATAACGTTACTTTTGTAACTGTGCCTTGCCACCTATATACATATATATTTGTACCACCTATTTAAATGATCTGGTGAGCGTTATACGTTTAAGTTAAATTTCCTAACACAAGAGTAAGCATATAATTTTCTACCATTATAAAAATTATTCCCACGATGCGGAGATAATTCGCAACTCTGCAATTACAGGATACGAACACTCACTGTAAGTATTCAACGCATAAGCAGAGCTGTTAACTTAAAACAAATGACAGCAATGCTTTTTACAGGCCTTTTATTACCAAAACCGATTACCACTAAACAACACCTACCTTGCTATGTACGTGACTATATAAATATGTAAATAATCTCATTTTTCCTTTATATATATATATATATATATATATATATATATGTATA